CTCTGGGATGTTTAATCCTGGGATTTTTACTAATAAGGTTTTCTTGCATCTCCCCTTTTGTGTAATGGGCACAATATCTTTTCTTCCTGCCTCATAGGATTGTTGACAAAATGAAAGGGGACACGTGCTGGGGAGAGAGTATGTGGCATCAGTGTGTGATTTAACTCTAGATTCCTATTTAGCTTTTTCTACTTATCCCTGAGCCTCAGTGGTCTAATCTTTAAAACAGGAACATTAACACTGCATGGGCCATTGTAAAAATTGAATAGAATAGAATTGAAATTGAATAGAATCACGGTGGAAACACCTAACCCACACTAGGCTGAAAGGATTCGCCTCTTTTTGGAAAAGTACAAAGCACAGAGAATAGATGCAGACAATAGCGATGATATTGAATGGCCCTCAAGGGAATCCGTCATGGTGTTTGACATTTCAATTGGAAATGTACATGACCATGAATGGTATCACATTTTTCCAAATCTTCCTATGGAATGTAGGATCTTCAAGGAGAAGCCCCGTATCACTTGCTTCACCTGAAGATTGAGGTGGAGAAGAACAGATTCTTGGCCTGTGTAGAAGAATGCAGAGCTGAGCTGGATCGCGAAACCAAGCTGGTATCCCAGGAAGGCAGTGAAAAGCTTATCAAAGAGCACAGGGTACGTGCGTCTCCCACACCCCGACTGCAGTCATGTAGCCACACGGTCACCTACAGGATATAGCCGATGCTTTGGTTTGAGTCTTAAAACACGAAATAGCTTAATTACTTTACGTGATAGTCTCAATGGGATCTTCCTTCGTTTTTTTCTATGAAAGTATAAAAATATTGTGTGGCTTCTCATGGGTTCTGTAAATGTTTATTGCTTTCTAGATTTTCTTCAGAGACAAAGGTCTTCATCATCTGTGTGAGAAAAGGTTACAGCTCATTGAAGAACTGTGTCTGAAACTCCCAGTCCGGGACCCTGGAAGGAACACACCTGAAACCTGTCACGCGACCCTCAAAGAGCTCAGAGCTGCCATCGACAGCACCTACGCGAAGCTCGTGGATGATCCGGACAAGTGGAAAGACTACGCCAGCAGGTGGTCTTGAAACTGTTCCCTTAGAAGGACGGACATAGCAGATTATAATTCTGTTACTACAATGATTATTACAAAACGAGAAACGACATACGTTTTACCTTATGCAATAAAGAAAATCAGATTGTAGGATTTTGCTCTTGTTCTTATACAGAAATGCTTCATTCGACAAAAAGAATGGGTTTCAGTCAAAAACGGTGGAGCATTTTATTTCCAAATAACCCAGATGTGATCTTTGGAGGCAGAACTGGTTAATCCCTTTCTCTTGGATTTCCTCCTATTTCCCAAAGGATGACTTCTGACTCTTTAGCTTCCTGTCTCACTCTGGTGGGGACATGTGAGGCCCGACCTCAGACGGTACCTTCCATACTCCCAGGTGCTCAGACCCCAGGACACACCTTTTTCCTCAGCTCAGCTCCACCTGTTCCATTTTCTCTCTCCTCCAACTGACCGAGCACAGAAGCGGCCATCCCTGCTCTGAGCTTTATGCTCCTTTAAGGAACAATTTCCAAAAATACTTGCTAATCAATTTGCTTATTGCTCGATTGTTACGTTTCCACAAATGAATTCAAAGTAGAAAATGTATCGTAACTGTTCCGATATGTTCTCCCTTTAATAAGCAAACGCCGGTGTTGTTTCAGAATTTCTGAGCTCTCATCCTGGATCGCTGCAAAGGAGACACAGTTGAAGGGGGTTAAGAGTGAGACCATCAGTACTGCCAACCATGGAGAGTTTAAACGGGCGGTAGAGGTAAGTTCTGGGCCACTTTTTGTTGCTGAGATTTTCATTCATAAAAAAATAATGATAGACTATTTAATCGATGTCTTTTTTTTTCTTTCTATAAAAATAAAGTTCCTGAAAATGAAGCAATGTTAAAATTAATCTTAAAACTAAGCTGCCTCATGTTACCGTGGAGAACTTTGAGATTGTTGTTGGCTTTGAGATTTCACCATGCTCAGCGGTGCTTCTCATGCATCTTTAGCTGATGCGGGATCCCGAGAGGAAAACCGCGTGCATGGGTGTGCCACACTGTGGGATTTCAGAACTGTCTCAGACAACGCGAACCCTGTGGGGTTTTAATACGTGTCAGCCATTCGAAAGCCAGATCACAGTAAATGAGGGATTTAGACAAGGTCTCTAAGCATCCTTTCCATGTCACATTCAGCCTGGATTGGATCAACCCCTGTGAGCTTGTGGACAGCCTGATAACCCATCCATGCCAGAGCCTCAGGTCTGTTTGCATCCTGTGAATGGCATGGAGCAGCCCTCTGCCTCTTAGATTGGCTCTTAGTTTGGGAGACTCACAGTACTGTGAAAAGGCTTTATCGTTCAGTCTTCTGAAACTTTGCAAGTTGCATACTTAATGAGAATATTTTCCCTTTCTATTCCTATCCTCTAAATTTCACTTTTTTCTATTAAAATTATAATCCCCTTAAATGCTAGAGGTGCTCAATGATATCATGCTATACCAACAGAAGGATATCGATATATGCTGTCAGTTGCTGTTGTATTACAAAAAAACATTCTCCTGGTAGAATGACAGATCACTTGCTTCTGGAACCAGCCGTTTTCTAGCTAGTATGCATTTGCCCTATAAGACCCTCCGTTGCATCATGCGTGATAAGAAATGGTGTTACCCAAAAAGGCAGTTGGAGACCACTGCCCTCGTGGTACCCAGGGTGGGTGTCGGAGGGAGAGGCTGCCTCCGTCGCCTTTCCTTTGGTCCCCAGCGCTACAAGGGCTGAGGCCCCAGAGTCTTACTGGCGTTGTCTTGGCCAGTAAGCCCTCCCTTTCCAAATTAGAGTCATTCTCCTGTTTGTGCATCTCATTCTCAGGCATTCTGACTTCTAAAAGCTAACCGAAATGAGGCATAAAATGTGAGTTAATGAAACCAAGTAAATCTTTAGGGCATTCATAATAAGATTAAAAAAAAAAATAAGGACTCTTTTATTCTTTTTTCCAAAAAATACTATGTTCCTTCTAACTCACAGAAAGTAAGATAAGAAAGGCTACTGTACTTTATAATTCCCAATTTGTATCACATGTTCTTTTACGGTACCTTTAAAAGTGTCATTGTTGTGATCAAGGGGATATCCGTAAGTATCTAACCATGTAATTATGAAGGTAATTTTTGGTATAGAGAGTACTGATTTTACACGTAGGGTATTGGCATTGGGGAAACATTTCTTTCCAGCACTTGTGGACTTTTGTTAAAGATCCAAACAAAGTAAAATAAGCAGGCACTCTACTGGTAAATGAATGTCTAGCATTCCAGCCTCCACCTTACATACTGTCTTAGGTGAGTCCTTTCTTGCCGGAAAGTTATGATTCGCAATTGTATTTGGTTCATCGAAAGTGTTCTTTCATTCCAGGAGATAAGAAGGGGTGTTACCCAAAAAGGCGAGACTCTCGGCTGGCTGAAATCCAGGCTTAAAATTTTGGTTGAAGTTTCTTCTGAGAAAGAAGCCCAAATGCAAGGAGATGAGCTGGCAAAGTTATCCAGTTCCTTCAAGGCTCTCGGAACTTTGTTGTCAGAGGTATGCCATTTATTCACATTCTAAACAGTTCTGGGTGAGGAATCTGGAAGGTTCTTTTTCTTTGGGTTGTAATTTAACAATTTTATAAAGAAATTTTAGTTGGAACAGAATAATTGGTACTTATATGAATATTGGAGGGGAAGGTCAGTAGGATGTTTGAATTATGATCTGTGCCATTATCAGATGTATTAGTGCAGGTTAATGATTGATATCTGAAGTACAAAGCTTATCAGATCCATGCTTTTTCACTCATACTAAGAGCATTGTTTCTTGGTCAGTTTAAGGTAAATCATGAGGTTAAGAAGTCAGGTTTGAGAATCAAACAAACGGAGAGCTAGAGTTTAACTCTGATACTCCCTTTCATGTGTAGCCTTGAGGCTGTCATTATGTAACCTTATGTAACCTCTGACCCTGTCACTTAATATCTATACACCTTGATTTTCTTACATGTACAACAGGGCTAAACATATACAAAAAGTAGGTGTCAAGAATATGATGCGATAATGTAGGTAAAGCAATTAGTACAGTGCCTGGAACAGAGTAAATGCTCAATAACTGATAGCTAGTAATGATAAAATATTCAGTGTTTAGTCTGCAGGCCAGTAAAATCTCTTAGGCAAGAGCTACTCATTTTAAACTTACTGACATATACTTCGATGTTTATAGATTAGAATATATAAACCCATCTACTTCATTTCGAGTACGGCCCCTTCCACTCACTGTGAGAATATTTTTGCTACCCCGGTTGTTGTACAAGTCTAATGAGTTTGTGCATGGGAAGATAATGTAAGCATGTAAAGTAGAATAGTTAGCTGTATTTCTTGAATTATCATTGGTAACCTTGCAAAAAATAATGATCAATTGGAGGACTACAAAGTTCCCTGGCTCTGAAGATCTGACATTTTCCCTAGCTGTCCCTAAAACTAACAATTTGATTGTCAATTAACCTTTTATATTTTTAATCCACGTAGATCTGCTTGAGACTCTAGTGGTGAATCTATATAAGCCAAAAATACTCTGAACTTTTGATTTTAGTTTTATATGATAATTTTGATAATTAAGAATTTTTGACAAATTGAAAACAGCGATAGGATTAATTAAATTTTAGAACATAAGCTAATTCAATCCTTTGATGATCTATCTGTTGTAGCTATAGTCAAGTTAGTTGCCACTACTATACTTTAAGTGAAATTCTGATACTCTTCTCTACTCTTTCTTTGGCTAAGGAGGCAAGGGTAAAAGTAAGCATAACAATACAAAAAGTAAATATATCTGCAGGGGATCTTTGATCTGAGACCTAACAAATAGTTTTAGTCATAGCAATAGATTAACTTTTATTTGGTTTTACACACACACATGCACACATGCACACACATAACTACTTTGGCAACCTTTAAAATGAGAAATTACTAGTCATTCTTTTACCAAGGCCATTTATTTGCTTTATCTTTCAAGTACTCACAAGACGCTGCCCATGAGACTCATAGCAACAATCTACTTCTAACAGATGCAGGCATTAATTCTTTGCATACTCATCGACCTTAAACTTCTGTATAATTTATATTAATACCCTTGTTTGTTAGTTAAGCACTTAGTGAAAGAAAAAAGAGAAGAAAGAAAAATAAACATTTTGTTCTCATAAAAATTTATATAAAAAGATAGATTTGACACATTCAATCCTTTGATTATAATCCATTTAGTATTTACATTACTATTGAACGCAAAGTGTTTGCAATTGTCTAGTGTAAGAAAAAAAAAGGCTCTGGATTGACACTATGTAATGAATAGTCACTTTTTTTTTTTTTAAAGAAAGGTGTGAATTACTGAGATCTAGAGTGTGTGGTTTTCCTAGGATGTTATTTCTATTTGTTTGGCAAACAGCATGCTCCAAGTTCCCTTGGACAAACTCAGAGCAGAAGAGGGTCAAAGAAAAAGTTAGCATAAGAGAAGGAGAAACTGGAAGGTTTCTGTAGAAAACAAATGATGATACAATGTTAAATGATCATCTTAGTGAAGATGGAGAGGGACAGACTTTGAAAACAAAAGATGCCGGTAAACTAAAATAGAGAAAGCCAGAGTTAGAAAGAAGACAAAGCTGAAAATTGAGGAAAATGACAAAAAAAAAAAAAAAGAATCTACCTAAGAATCATAAAGTTAGAAATTGTATTGATATTTTGTGTAGAAATATTGGAAGGGCATTTTCAACAAATACCTTTTTATTCTTTTTCCTCTATTCTTTTTCTTCCATTCAAGTTTTTTCCTTATTTACTTTAAATAAGATAGACTCAATTTTCTTACAACACACTTTTATAACTAGATTTTAGTCATGAGATTGTAATGAAAGGGATCCAGGAAACAATACATACAATATACAGTTTCATTATCCTGCCTTGATTACAAGGTCCTGTGGGTTTTTAATAAGGTGCAGAGAGCACCATATCTAATAAGGCTTGCAATTCCCATAGTGACTATGCAGTTTTAAATAAGCTTCAAAAATATATGAATGAATTAAAATTAGAGATCTGTGTATGTATTTCAAGTTGAGATAGACTTTACATATACTCTTAAAATATTTAAAGTTATATGAGCATATGATTTATAATTTTTTCATGAATACCTAGGTTGAAAAGATGTTAAGCAACGTTGGGGACTGTGTCCAGTACAAAGAAAGTGTGCAGAGTTCCCTTGAAGAGTTAATTTCTGGTTCTAAAGAGGTCCAGGACCAAGCCGAGAAGATACTGGACACTGAAAACCTGTTTGAAGCACAGCAGTTACTTCTTCACCACCAGGTAGAATGCCTCTTTACTTCTGTGCATGTATACAAAGTTGAGAACCAGAACCAGAGAGAGGAACCAGAGAGAGGAATAGTGTATCCACTGACCCACTGAGTAAGGACAAAGAAAGGGGTGGGGGGTTTGTGCGGGAAGAAACCCAGCTGAATGGTTCAAAAAAACTTGTCACTTCTGCTCTCTCTGTTAAGTGTTAAATATTTCAGAAGATCCTACAAGACAAATTTTTGGCTTGAATTATTTGATATAAAAAAGTTCAAGAAATATTGTGGAGAAAAAGTTGGTTTAGTTATGAAAACTGGCTAAATTATCCTTTCATAACAGAGATGGGAAGTACAGAGATAAATTCCTTTATACTTGAGATCAGTACTCTTTGGCCATCATGTTAAAATCTCACTTTTCAATTTACAACTTTGAATACATCTTAGGGAAATTACAGCTTATATGAAGTATTAGACCTTTCACGAGGGTATGTTCTTGTAAAGCAGGGGTCCCCAACCCCTGGGCGGTTGACCAGTACAGGCCCATGCATGGCCTGTTAGGAGCCTGGCCTCACAGCAGGAGGTGAGCTGTGGGAAAGCAAGCAAAGCTTCACCTGTTATTTCCAGCCGTTCCCCACCACTAACATCACTGCCTCAGCTCCACCTCAGATCATCAGGCATCAGATTCTCATAGGAGCACCGGTCCCTGGTGCCAAAAAGGTTGGGGACCGCTGTAAAGGATTAGAACTGGAAGTAAAGAAATTCTGGTACATATATTGATAATTAGCAATTTTGGTCAACTTTACTTGCAAATTCAATGTAAGTGAAAGTGTGATTCAAATCAAATATTATAATGACAAAATTCTAGTTAACTTAATGTATATAGCAAAATGCTAATTTTACATATAATAATGTATAAAAATGGAAATTTTATTAAAAGCATATGTAAAATAACAGTCTTTAGGCTTTGTAGATCAACTTAATAATTATAGAAAGGACCAGAGGGTAAGGGAAATGGGGGAGCAGGGAGGTAGACTGGGTAAAGGGGGTCAAATATGTGGTGACGGAAAGTAATTTAACTATAGGAGATGAACACAGTGTAAATATATATATGCCTTACTGTTAAAGTGTACAGCTGAAACATTGGATTTCATTAACCAATGTCACCATAAAAAATAAGTTAAAAAAATAATAAACTAAAAATAAAATAAAAATAATAATTATAAAAAGGCTGAGTACAAAAAAATGCTTAGTGTTATATTGTGATATTTGGATTTTAATAGACTTTAAGAGAAATATGAGATTGTGGATATTTGCATTAATATTTTGAAACTCCTTATATTTCTTGGATCAAGTGCTTGGTTATATGCATGTGTTTACTTTGTGAAAATCTGTAAGCTGTACACTTGAGATTTGCATACCATCCTGTTTGTACATTATACTTCAATAAAAAGTTTATTTTAAAACATAACTCTCCCCAGATATCTCAGCAGATTAATCATATTTAATATACCCAGGAATTACATTTCTTAATATTAGCATTTATACAGCATAAATAATTTAAAAACAGGAGGTAGGACTTTGTATTTTTAGGCAGAAAATAATTATTTTAGAATTATGACAAATAGATAGTTTGGCCAAATGCTTTCTGGAGTATTGCACAAAATGCTAAGTGCTGTCTAAATTTGCACACCATTAAAACACCAAGACCAAATTAATTATGTTGTTTACCATTAGAAACATAAAATATTTATAAATAATATTCATCTTTGACTAACAGAGTCCTGGCTCTTTAACTGTTCGCGTTAACTTTAAAATATAGTTCAGGCCCACGTGGTGTGAGGTCCTGCCTTTCGTAGCTCTGCTGAAGTGTGGGCGTCTATGTCCCTGCTTAGCCGCTTAGAGAATAACATTTATATCCATATGTTGAATAAATGCTTCCAGCAAAAAACAAAGAGGATCGCTGCAAAAAAGAGGGACGTGCAGCAGCAGATCGCACAGGATCGGCAGGGGGAAGGTGGGCTGCCGGGCCAAGTCCGGGAGGAGCTGCGGAAGCTGGAGAGCAGCCTGGACAGTGTGGAGCGCAGCAGGGAGAAGCAGGAACGCCGCATCCAGGTAGGAGGCTGGAAGTCAAGGGCGGTGTTAACTTCCGGGTCACGGGTTATGGCTCATATTAGCAGATGCAAGCGTGTGTTTCCGCCTCTGATGCTCCAACCTTGTGTTAAATATTCACATGAGTTATCTTATCTCTTTTAATCACTACATCGGGCCTTATGAGCCGGGGTACTGTAATTAGCACATTTTGTTGGTGTGGATACTTAAAGAGAAAATAACTTTACCCAAAGTCACAGAACAGTGATCACAAATAAAGCCAAGATTTTAATTCAGGCTTGTCTGAATCCAGAAATTTACATTGGATCATTTCACTTTTCCGAGCAGTCCAGCAGCCACACGGTTATGCCTTTTTGTAATCTGAAGGAAAGATAATCTATCTCTCCCTTTCATCCTTTCTTTTTTTGAGAGAAACTGGGAAGCTTTTTTTCCCCTTTGTCCTTTATCTACATTTTAAGTAATATCCTTAGATTTGTAGGACATTACAGTATATAGAAAATTCAGAGTCCTGGTCCACACATCCTCTTTTCGTAGATGACTCGAGACTCAAACAGAAATTCTTATAGAAGCCATTAGAATCACCTTTATTCAGTATAATTGTAAAATTTCTCAGAAGGTTAACTGGAAATTGGCCTAACAAAGAATGGAAATATGAACACTATTTTGTGACACACTTTGATAATTTATAACATTACATGTTTTTTTTTTTGTTTTTTAAAATTTAGGTCACATTAAGAAAATGGGAGCGATTTGAAACAAACAAAGAAACAGTGGTCAGATACCTTTTTCAAACAGGTTCCAGCCATGAACGCTTCTTGAGTTTTAGCAGTTTGGAAAGTTTATCTTCAGAATTGGAACAGACAAAGGTATATCAGTAAGACTGTAGAATTCCTTTGTACTACTCATCGTTCAGAAGAAAAACTGTGTTTCTCCTCCCTTATTGCTATTATTATAAGTATGCATTTAATCAGTACTTATTATTTATTGATCAATCACTCTTCAACACACTGGTCAGGTTGCTCTGGGGAATGAAAAAATAACTAAGATTTAAAATCAAGAACTAAGAGAAACTTCTCATTAAAGTAGGAAATCATTCCCTAATAGATGAATGCATTTAAAAAAAAAAATCTTTCTTAAGGCAGTGATATTTTTTACCTGAACTTTAAAGGGAGCTAAGACATAGAAAAACAGAGTTTGGGGCAGACAATGAACATCCCTGTAATTGGAAATGACATAAAGTGTAACTGTATTAGATAAGGGGATTCTATACTATGAAGCAGGGAAATGGAAGTACAGTCATAAAGGAAGATGGAGTCACATTGCAAAGACTCTTGAAGGCCTAAGGCATTATTCTTTAGGCAACACAGAACCCTTAAAGGTTTTAAAGAAAGAACTTCACGAAATCGGAGCTGTGCTTGAGGGTGATGAGTTTAAAGCAAGTGTAAAAAATTGAAAAGGTAAAAGACTGGAGTCAGGGGATCTGATGAGAAAGTTACTGCATATGTACATTACTAAAGGCGTGAATTTGGGTGATGGGGATGGCAATAGGACAGATGCAAGGACAGAGAGTGAAGGAAAAGAAGGCGATACCCAAAGTTCTGAGCCTGACAAAGACAATGAGAGTGAGACCGGAACTTGAGAAAGTAGTTATTAGTGAGGAAAGATGACCACCTCTGTTTTGGACATACTGATTTTGAGGCTCCAGTGGCACATCCAAGAGGTAATATCTAGGTGAGCTTCAGCCTGTACGCTAAATGACTTAGACACTCATAGCAGACTGATACATTTGTACAAAGCATTTAGAGTTGTACAGGTTATTTTGGTTCCTGTTGCCATGTTTTAGGTGTATAAAAAGATTGAATAAGTATAGGAATGTCTTGGCTAATGTATTAGAAAGAAGACTTACACATTCATCCTTTCATAGCCTCTGGCAAGTAAACCCCTGTGCTTTTGTTTTCTTACCAGTGAAAGGCTTCTTTGTCTCTCATACTGCTGGTTTGTTTTTTTTTTTTAAATTATTTCTTCTATTATTAACTTACTGAGGAATTCGAAGTTTTATAAAGCCATAAAATCTTTCAATCCTGTATGATTTTTATCAGCCATTTAAATAGAACATTATATTTAATTGTAATTTTAATTATTTTATATGTTAAAAATATATAAGGTATTTTTTATAAACACAACTATATTTATTGAGTTATCATCTGAGAGAGGAGGGGTTCCACCCAGATTCCACGCAGGGAACAATGGAAAAATATTTTTGTGAGGATTTTGGATAACTGTGAAGGTAGAGATCTGGTTGTGTATATAAAAAGAAATAGTTTAGCAAAGTTTATTCAGGCCATGATGAAAATACATCTGTTTTATTGCTCAGAATATTATATGCTAATAGTCATAGATGAGGAGACTCTGCAGTATGTGTATGCAATATATTTGAGGACAGAGCTTAATAGAAGATGCCTTCCTAACAATTATATCTTTTTCTAGGAGTTTTCTAAACGAACGGAAGGTATTGCAGTCCAGGCTGAGAATCTTGTGAAGGAAGCTTCAGAGATACCACTTGGGCCCCAGAATAAGCATCTGCTTCAGCAGCAGGCCAAGTCAATCAGAGAACAAGTCAGAAAATTAGAAGACACACTCGAAGAAGAGTATGTGCTTGACAAGTCCTAAACTTTCTTCTCTGAGATAAAGTTTCATACAGTCTTTCCTGTATATTGTATTCAAAATATTCTTTTAAAATCTCGGTGTCTGTGTATTTCAGCATGTTTTGAGGAAGCAACTCACAATTCAAAAGAAAGTATCAGCAACACAGAAGCCAACATCCATAACAGAGCAGGAAAAAAGCAAGGGGTGTGGATTTTGCATCGTAAACTCATTCTGTGCATGAGAAAGCCATATCTATTAAATTCTGTGGCCTTAGTACACTAGCAAGGGAATCTCACAAAAGAACCAATACTGGAAATACATTTTTTTACTCTATTATTCTGCTGTCACCAGTTAGAGGGAAGAGGAGCTATTTGGGTTGTGTAGATTCAAGACCTAAATTCATACGATATAGACCAAAGGTCTTCGTCTCCAAGAAGCTCACAGAGCTTGTTTACAATGCCTCAATATTCAGTTGTTACTGATTGATACTCTATTTTCAAAAATTAACTTCGAAAATCTATTTTATTTAAAAATATTTAATATATGTTTATCTAAAAAATAATAATAATAATAGTTGGGGGCATGCTATCCTGTTATGTACAAAATATACACCAAAAAGATTGGAGGGAATAAACATATAAGGATATGGCAATGTTCCTCAAAATAACATGGCAAAGCATTTGTATTTTAAAGGTTATTTAGTGGCAAATGGCTGACACATTTTTAAGGTATAGGACATAATTTCTGAGATGAATTTTAAAATCTAAAATTTGCTTTTAGTACTATTAACACCTTGAAATTAACATTGTACATTTGCCTAAACTTTAAAGTTTGTTAAATAATTTATTTAAAGGAAATTATGGCTCTGAGCTTTGAGAACTTTATATTAGATTTTATCTCTCAATGTATGAAAATAGTAAAACTTAAGAGTTTATTAGAAATGAAGCTACTTTATGAGGAATACTTTTTTGAATCTTTACTTCATTTAAAAACTTGCAACATAACTTGTACTGATTAAAGCATTGGGCACACCAGGGTATCCATTTGTGGCTGCAATATTATTTAATTTGACAATCAGTGATGCCATTGTATTTTTCTTGATGTCTTTAAGTGCCTTTTGGTAAACAGGGAAATTCTTTCATTTTTTTTTTTTAACCAAGTGACTTATCAATTCAATGATAATACTATAAGTTTCTTACTCTTTTTCTAAACTGAAAGCCATAATCACATGGTTATATATGCATAGCTAACACAAACTGGAAATCTATAGCTAAATTTTCGTTCACTTAGATTTATTACAAATAAAGCCCAAATTGTCTAAAAGCAGTTAGGGTGCTCACAGATAAGGATTTATAAAAGTATTTTGGAATCAAGGCCATACAAACATCTAAGAATAGCTGAAATTGTTATAAGTTATAGATTGCAGGCTTAGCTCTGATGATGGAAACAGTTCCTGCGTGAAGGCATGGAATTCAGATTATAAGCTCTATCTTAATTCATAAAGATGCATTTTGTAAAGATCTTTGAGTATAAAGCAGCACTGCAGTCTCTCTCCTCTAACGGCAAGAGGACCACGTCCACAAAAGTAGGAGCGCTAAAATTCTGTGTGCACTGGAATCTGTGCCGGCAGCTTAGTTAATAAGTCCTGGCAACTACTGGTCACGTGCAGAGTTTAACCAGGTTATGTGTGTATTCAAACCCCTTTGGACCCAGCAATATTTTGTTCGAAGCACAGTTTCATCCATAACATGGTGTAGATGCTACCTCGTTAAATGCTCATTCTCAGAGGAGACAGGAAGATGAGACTTGACAAACTACAGATCAAGTGTGCATTTTTTTTTCTCTGTTCTAATAGTTTCAACGTTGGCATGGTCACAAATGTCTTGACTATCTTTTCACCTGGTAATTTAAAGGAAAATGTATTGTTTTCTATTAAAATACTGCATTTTATTTACTTAATTTGGTTAATTTTAGTATTAAAACCATGGAAATGGTGAAAAACAAGTGGGATCATTTTGGCAATAATTTTGAGACCCTGTCCATCTGGATAACTGAGAAAGAAAAAGAACTCAATGCCTTGGAAACTTCGTCATCTGCCATGGACGTGCAAATCAGCCAAATTAAGGTGACCTGCTCACACGTTCATTACGTTAATAATTTATGTCTAGCTTTTAAAAACTCCTTTTTTAGGTTTCATCAAATCCTATTCAGTCCCAAACAAATCTTTCATTGCTCTGTGATCCTATTAAAATTAAGTTCACACAGAACGTTGAGCTAAGAGGTCTTAATTGATACTGGGCGACAGTTTATAGATGGAATTATGTATTAATATTGTCTAACTTACGCATTCAAAGTCAATATTGTGTGCAATATCATTAAAATGTTTTTATGGTTACAGTATTCTTTTCCTTGATTTTGAATTAATCTCATTGGAGTGCTCTGTTAATTCATTTATACAACATGAAATGTAGTCATCATCTACAACTGTACTTTATAGAATCGTCCCAAATATCTAGTTCAAATATTAGTGGCATTTACCCTCAAAAGCACAAGGAGGAGAAATTACTTTCTTTAGGCAAAGCAATCAGAGCCCATTGCTACAGTTCTTTCATTTGTGATGAACTTGGGGGCATGGACTGTGTTGCTCTGATACTTAAGCTCCCTCAGCTCCAAAATAACCATGTGTATAGACTATCCTTGTTTACTTCATTCGAATAATTTAAGAAAAAAGTGAGCTGAAAGAAATGAATTCTGAGTGTTCATTTCTCTTTTTTTTAATAGACAATTTTTACATATTTTCAAAATTAGGCTACTTCTTTTTCTATCTCAGCTCATTTTATTGGAATGGGAAACCCTCTGCATTTCATTGGATTAAATGTAGTAAAATAAATATGAAAGTGAGAGAACATTTCACATTATGACGCAGAACAAGTTATTGTCATGTGCACAGTGGGAGGGTGCAATGTTGCCTAGCCAAGTTTATGTGCTGTGCAGATTATCCCGGTTTATCATGCATCTTTCGCAAGCAAGGCTATGTGGAGTCTGGTATACAGTGTCTGCTTCTGTCTTGTGTGGTATACCAGGAAAACCGGAAGCCAAGCCATTAAAGAATATTCATGAGTATGTTTAATCTTTAAAACAATTTTTAAAAGTTGTCCTTTAATTATTTTTACTAAATTTTAAGAACACAAAGAATAGCATTCAAATAGTTTTGTCTCAAAAATTTCCTTTCAAAATTTTTGACATAGACTCTTTAATTTGCTTATCCTTTCTATTAATTCATTTCACTATTATTTAAACCTTAATTCCAGGACTTCGAAAATATATCAGTGATCAAATTTCATCACCTTATTGCTCTGTAGGAAACCAAATGATTACATATTTTAATTTTAAATATATAAACATTCAATTGTGAATTTCCATGCTATCAGATGAAAATTACATTTTAACATTCCAATATGGCATTTTGAAACAAGCTATAAATGTATTAAATAAATATAAATATCAGAAAATACATACTTGCTATAAATAAGCAAAGACAGAGTGGAATGCACTTTACTATGGAATTTGGCTAATAGGTTAATGTTTTATTTCCAAACAAAAGACTACTGTGGGAAATATTAAAAATATGATAGTACTTTGTCATAATGTTTCCAATTTAAAACTATTAGGATAAAATTAGTTCACAACATTAGTATTGTTGTGAAATCTTTTTTATAAGCCCGTTTTTGTTCTTCATTATGTGCTATTCCAAATTGATTTCTTATTCCTAATTGATAATTTATAAGTGATAAGAGCACATACTGGGTTCATTTTTCATCTTCTCTTCTTAGATTAGAAAAAATTACTGCCACAGTCCAACAACTCTATTATATAGCTTGCATTTACGAATTTCTCGATGACATATTACTCTAAGAACTAAGAACTTCGATCTTAACTAAGATTGTTTCACTGAAGTATTGCAAGCGCCTAGAACAATTATTGGCACATCAGAGACACTCAATATACTTTGTTTAATTTATGAGTAATTTTTCTAAAACCTATCATTTAAAAAACAGCTCAATGAAGGAAGATTTTATTAATGCTCAAACAAATATCTATCAGATATACTGCTATAGTCATGCATATGAAAAATAAAAATAAGTGATTCACAGGCACTGATCTGGTATAAATTATCTCTGATTGTCTCATCTAGACAGAAATTATTTCCCACTATGTTATCTCATCTAGACAGGAGTCACATTTATCTGTTTTTAGGGTAACTGTATTTTCCATTTTGATTACCTGAAATTTAGACTTGTCTGAATTTTTTGCTTTATCTTGATTGGACTGTTTGACTCTTTTCCTCAAAGAAATAATTTTCATTCTCTTATACATAAATATGCCTGTATGTTTATGAGAGACACCGCCCTCCACACACACACACACACACGCACACACACACACACACACCCACACACCCCTTTAGTGGCTTTCAGCACTTTTCACATATCGGCTAATATATAAAATGTTCTCTGGCCCCAATGGAAATTATAGTACGTGGGCTCTTTACTGCACAGGTAATGAATAAAGCAGTGGTCACAGAGTGGGGCCCAGGGTCGGCCACAGAAGCATCACCTGAGAAGTTGTTAGAAATTACAGGTCTTGGCCCCACCTTAGACCTATTGAATCTGAGTTCCTCGAACGGGGACCAGGTGATCTTAATGTATTCCAAACTTGGAAACCACTGGCATAAAAAATGGATGGTAAATTTGAAGAGACTGGCTTCAGGTAGGAGTGGAATCAGAAAAGCTTTTAGTCTGGTAAAATATGAACTACTCAACCACATTTTAGGAAATGTACATGAAATGTCAATATTAGCATTCCTGTGAGTTATTGGAACACACTGCTTCCCAGATCCATTGGTTAAAATACTTGTAAGCTGGGAATTCTCTGTAACTTCAGAGATACTTGAAGAGTTCCAGGGACATCTCTCTGCTCACTTCACTGCAAGCAGCATAGCTGTTTCTCTTTTTCCTCTATCCAGAGAGCATGCTCACCACGTTTCTATTTTTTAGACATTCTCTGCATATCTATTCCTTAAAAAATGAGGTCAGGAAACACATGATGTTTTTCATAGCTGTTCTGTAGCTGTCCTACTACGTTAAAATGTCAGGTTTCTCTTTCTGCAAATAATTATATCATTTCAGGAAGGCAAGCTTGCTCATTTTCCTTGTTTTATTAGGTCACAATTCAAGAAATAGAAAGTAAGATCAGCAGCATTACAGGACTAGAAGAAGAAGTTCAGTCTTTTGCCCAGTTTCTTACCACCGGAGAATCTGCTCGAATGAAAGCCAAGTTGACACAGATAAGACGATACTGGGAAGAGCTCCGAGAGCATGCGCAGTGTCTGGAAGGAACAATCCTGGGGCATATATCTCAGCAGCAAAAGTTTGAAGAGAATCTTAGAAAGGTAAGGACTGATTCATCCACGTTAAGTTACCTGTTTCATGTTGCATTAATAGCGAAACGCAATACACAATCCAGAAATAGTGGAACAAAGAAAAGATACCATATATCAGTTATTATCAAGTTATCAGTGATACCTACATTTATAATTATTTATATGGTACACCTTTTGAGGGAATATAAAAATGTGTTCAGATAGACATTTGTATTTTTTTAGATTTATTTATATTTTTTTCAAATAATAGGATGCATTCATTTTAGATTTTTAAAAACTGAATTGAAAGTTATCCAAAAAAGATAGGCATGCTGCTTTGCCTTGATGTATATTTTTCTCACCATGATTTTTCTATTTCACCAATGATTTAGATTCAGCAGTCTGTGTCTGAATTTGAAGATAAACTTGCTGATCCAATTAAAATATGTTCTTCAGCTACAGAAACATACAAAGCTCTTCAAGAACATATGGTAAGAGTGTGATTCAACATTTCTGCTTATTTATGAA